CCGAATGAAGCTTAAAACGTTTTTTCTTATTATCTCTTCCCCCCCCCCCCCTCTTCCCCCCAAGTTTGGACAAAAATTCTACGCGCTAACAGTTATTCGAACTTCCCAAATTGTGTCCATACTCGCCACTCATGGGGGTACGGAGAAACAAAGTCTTTCATAAATTAAAAGATAAGATGAGATATGATACATTTAGTGATCCGAATAAAAATGAAAATTTGTCTTTTTATATTCAGCATACATATTTTTTATTTTGTCATTCTTGAAAATCCTTGTTGGAGTCTTTCGTTACTTCTTAAAAAAATAGTCTGTAGCAAGACATTCGTCAATTATTTGTGTGGTAAGAATAACTGTTGAGTTTCTAAGTGTGAGGTGTAATTATGAACAGAGTCTTGGCTTGTGCATGAATGGAGTTCTCGTTTTTTTTTTCTTCTCCGAGGTTTCAATTAAAAAATATATTCCGAAGAAGTCTGTTTAATGATAATTTATATTTTGTGTTGCAATGTTAGCTAGACATTACCATCTTAAGAAGAAAGTCCAGGTAGCAAAATTGAAATTCTTTATAGAGAAATTAAAAATAGATTTAAATTAAAATATATATAAAAAAAGGATACTAACAATGTATTTTGCAAGCACTTTCTGATAGGTGAGAAAGTTTGTCCTACCATTAGAAATATAAAAAAAAAGGTGCGTGCGTGATTGTGGTTGCGCTCGTGTGTGTGTGTGTGTGTGTGTGTGTGTGTACGTGCGTGCGTGTGAGGGATTATTACATATGGCCTCAAAATGATAAAATCTCAGGACCCTTCGTATGCTAAAACAAGCCCTGATTACAAGCTGGTAATGCATCAACTTATTTTTATTATTATTATTAATTTTTAAAAAATATTTAAAAAAACACCCCAAATTATTTAAATTGTTAAAATTCATTTGTAATGGGAAAACGAAATATATTTTAAAGATAGTCTTATCCTTCCGTCTATTTTGATGGTTCTTTTACTTTTAATTAGTATAAGAATAAATATCTGTCCAATACATCTGAGCAGACTAAGTCAGTTCAGAGCGTGTCCCGGTGTATTGAAACAATGTTGGCGTGTAGGACATTGATCAATCAATACAGCAATCAATGAATTAATATTTTTTTTTTGTGTGTGTATATACGTCCAAAAAAAAAAAAAAAAAAAAAAAAAATTAAAAATAACCAATAAAAAAAAAAAAAAAAAAAAAAAAAAAAAAAATAAAAAGAGGAAACAAAAAAAAAAAAAAAAAAAAAAAAAAAAAAAAAAATTCACGTGAAGCTATTTAGGCTGACCAACACTTGTTTAAGTGATATCAAATGAAATATGACCATTGTGGAAAAGCCGACACCAGGCTTCAAGCTGAGAATCATTTGCGGACATTTGAAGAATTAGAATTTATCTTTATGCGAAATTTGCTGCACAATGCGTTTTTACGTTATTTTCACCAAGTCGGCGAAACGATTAAACAAATAGGAATTGTAATGAGTACCTGATCCATTTGCTTTACAGTTCATGAAAGTATTGCACAAACGAAAAAATAGATAAGTTGTTGAAGAGGTTGTTGAAGAAGTTGTTCAAGAAGTTGTTGAAGAAGGTTTTGAAGAAGGTATTGAAGAAGGTATTGAAGACGTTGTTTAAGAAGTTGTTTAAGAAGTTGTTAATGAAGTTGTTGAAGAATTTGTTGAAGAAGTTTAAGAAGTTGTAAGGATGAATCCACATGGCAAAAGGTAAACTTCTAGACCTCCAGTTGCACGTTAAACAAGATCATGGACCCACAGGAGAGCCGACTCTGTCTCATGCACACTTTCATCCAATTATAAACATGGAACATATGCACGCGATTTCGTGACTATTTATTAGTTTGATTGTTCACTGACCACTCCAAATAGACGTCACGTGGTGTTCAAACTTAGACGTGATCTCAGCGCCAAATGAAGCTTAAAACGTTTCTACTCTTTCTCTCTGCCCCCCCCCCCCCCCCCCCCCCCCCCCCCCCCTCTCACCAC